GTATGTATATAGGCCTATATAAATTTTAACCGGGACCTTCCTCATAGACAGCAGAAGGTCCCGGGTTCGAATCCCGGTTGGGGAAATTTTGTTTGCACTCGCAGATTCTATACCGTTTAAAATGTATACTTAGGCCCTATATGTATAAAGTATTACCCGAAGACGATTTAGAGTCTCCTCACGTGTTCCGGCCCTATATATGTTTAAACAAATAGATAAATAACAATAACTGTTCAAATAGGAACCTGTTGTAGCTCATCAATTATATATATATTATATAATGAAAAAAACGGTGTACAATCATTGAAAGGTTGACTTGTGGAACACAAATTTATTAAAATAAAACCAAATCAAACGGATATTTCGATACCTCCTGCTATCTTTATCAACGTTAAAGTGAGGAAACTTAGGAGATCTTACATATACATAAAGAATAATAAATGGTATTAACAATCAAAACCAAGTTAAAGATACAATCAGTTGATCGGACCATGTCGGACCACAAAATGAAAGTTCGGTGACAAGTTAATGAGCGGATTACTTATACAATTAAACCATGTAAAGATGTTGGCAAAATAGCATTAATTATGTAAGCGATAGTTTATTGGTGGTGCTATAGGTTATCCTTTGAATCAATTAAGGGTTGGTTTTGAATTTATTTTCTCTCCCCTCTTGGGCAAAAATGTTTATCTTAAATAAATAATAGGAATCCCAAAGGAGTCTCTGATAACCTTCTGTAAAACAATTGGCATCGGCTCGACCCGAAATGTCATAAAAAAGGGGTGATGTCTTTCACATTCATAAGCTCGGAGTGGAAGAACAATGCACACACCTACGCCACAGATATTATAAGTCAACTTTTGCCAAAACGATTGTCATAACAATTTTATTTTCAGAACCATGGATTGGACATTCAGATTTACCGTCCTCGTGGCGACTTGTGCCATTCTTTGCTGTCGGATGGCATGTCAGGCTAGCACCCATGACAAAACCATGCCATCTTCGGAAGTGGGTGTTGTGAGATCCAGACGACAAGTAAAAAGTGGAAAACCTAATGCTGCGTTACGTCACATTACATCAGGTCGTGGGAAATTCCTCATGCGCATGCGTCGAAACGCAGCAATTCAGCCAAAAATTGTGCCAATACCACAACAAAACGCGACCACTCATTCGACAAACCAGACAAATGGTCTCGGTATGTTCGTGCAACAAATATTCAAACGTGTATCGTCTGCAAATGCTGCCAGCAGTGGTGCTATAAATCCCGATGACGTCAACTTGCAGCAAGTGGATTCAGGTGACACTGCTCAGAAACCCATCTCAGAACTCCTGAGAAAATTCTACAAAAACGATCAAGAAAATCAAAGCAACGTTTTGGAAAAAAAGATGACAACAGCTATAGGTTCTGCTGAGTATTTTACAAAAAGCACGACAATGGTAACATTTGCACCGCCAACGAGAGGTGATGATTTATCTACTGACAAAAAATACTATGAACGTTATCTCGAAAAACTTAATGCGTATTTCAATTAAAATACTTTTCTGATTATGGGGAACTTTAGCTTAAATTTTGTTAAATTAGCATACCCATTAATGATGAAGAATGATGATGCTGGGGGAAGTCTTTCTTAGGTTTATGTCATGGTGTTGCATTTCATTCTTAGCAAATATCATGGAGGAAAGAAAACTGCTTTCTTTCCTCCACTGGTCTCCATTAAATTGCTTAAATTTGAGTGACATTCTGGAAAGGGCCATTCTGTGATCTAAAAATTTTAACATATAATACCAATCAAGATAGCCATTAACACTGTCAAATTATATATAAATTAATAGTGTTAACAGCTATCTTGACTTGTAGTATATGCTATTTATTACCAGCCGTACCTATTGTGCAATGAGGTGCATCTGATGGTTACTTGAATCTTTAACCTTTGTGGTCTGATGGTTATGACACTCGCCTGCATTCGTTGAGAGCTATGCTACACGATATACCAACATGTCCTTTATTCAAACACTGTATTTACTTTTCTTTGATGATTTATGTATAATTTAACAGTGTTAACAGACACATCT